TTTTAAAATAATTATTTGTTATAAAGTTATTAGACATTTAACAATTGCTAAAAAATTGGATATTTTTTGCTGTTCCATACTGTATATATAGAAAATAATAAATATTTAATAAAAATTATAATTTATTGTTTTCTAATCTTTTTACAATTTTTTAAAGTTTTTAATCTTGATATTGTTATTATTAGAGTATAAACAGAAATCAGATAATTTTAATTTACTAAAAACTTATATTTTTTTTTCTTTATTTAATTAAAAATTATTTAATCAAATTTATATCATCTATTAAACTATATTGATTAAGAATAGGATGTATATAGATTTATTTTCATATAGGCTAGGTGTTGAGAAAAAAGACGAAATTAACAATTTTTTAAAAAGATATTTTTTTGTATAAATCAATTTATAATAAAATTCATTGATGATCTGCGAATCACTTGAACAAAATGATCTATATATATTAATTAAACGTGATACAAATTCTATAATTAAAATTTAGTTTAGAAATGTGAAAATTTTCAATTAAAATAATTGACTTTTCCTATATCGATATAACTATCTATCAAGAAAAAATAAATTTTCTATTTTTAAAATTTATTGTTTATTATTTATTAGACTTAGCTTATAAAAAAATCTAATTGTACATATTATTGGTAAAGCTGATTCTGATAAATAAAAAAAAAAAAAAATTAAAAATTAAGTTTCATTTTTCTTGGAAGCACATATACGTTCAAAAAACTTTAATTTCAATAAAAAAACAAACTTAAGCTTGTAATAAAATCATGCTAGCAATAGATTAAGAGAAGTTAATATTGTTACTTAATATATATGTAGCCTTAATCAGTATCATAGAATAACTAATATTATATTTAACTCAAAATATTAGAAGATAGTGTCTTTAAAATATATGGACTAATAATACAATCACTAAATTCATATTAATATTTGATAAGCTCATCTTTAGACAGGTCTTAGTAGTAGAATATGCACAATTTGCAATCTATATAATAATATTTTACTAGCCTGGTGTCAGTTATGTAATCCTCTAAAAATAGCCAAGAGTAACAAGCAAAAGTTAATATATTGATGATTGCATCATAAATTTAAGGTAACAAAATATAAAGATATTAAATGTATTTCTTATTAAGGATTGGATAACACCTGAGAGATTATTAATGAAGTTTTAGCTACTTCGCTAGATGGTATGTGAACAATATTGGGTAATTATATATGATCTTGTATCATTGTGCACTGTTGATATTAAAACCTTACCTGATTCTAATAATTCAACTATTTTCTTTTAAAGAATAAATTTCTACTCTAACACTAAATATACATATTGGCTAATTGGGATAAGAAAATCTAATCTCCTCTAGGCTAAGGTGTATCAATTATGTATAATTTCATATGCCTAGTGAAATATGTTATTAGAAGATTGGATTTTTTTATCAAAATTAGCATGGTTTTGTAATTAGATTAATTAATGACATTAATTTAGAATATTTTTAGTTTAAATACAGCATCCTATTAGAGAGAAGTGTAGAGTGCATAGACTAACTCGAAACATGATAACCAATAATTTTATGACAGTATTCGAAGAATTTAATTCTAAAATAGTATCATTGGTAGTCTAGAATTTTAACATCTTGTGCCCGAATATTTTTATGCTGGAACAGAGAAATCTTCTAAATGCACCCTGTTTGGACCAAACTCTTGACAATGTGTATTTAGAAAACAATAAAAAAAAATTGTACTTAGAAAGATTAAGTATATATTTGGGCCGGAGTTAATAGTACATTTATAGAGATACATTTAGGAAGTTTTTCTGTATTATAAAAAGAATCTTCTAATTAGTATTTTATTACATATCAAAGAATTAGCTGCGCAAGAACTGTACAAAAATTTTTATTATAAATAAAGATGGTTTTTAATCACTAAATCTACATTACCAATATATAGTACTTCAAAGTTTTTAGAAAGTATTGTGGGTTTTTAATATAGAAATTTTTTTTATAAAATAAGTTTTTTTTTTTTTTTTTTTTTTTTTTTTTTCTTGGTCTAAGATTTCACCTGACCAAGTTGCTAAAAATCTAATACTGATTTTTCAAATACTGTCTAGTCAGTCAAAAGAAATCCACTCAATTACACCTTTATATTCTACTGCTTTAAGTTAAAACCTTTTATTTTTATCTTGAAAGTTTTCAAAAAATCACATGTCCGACATCAGGCTTTCGATGGTTGCAATCTGATTTGAAATAATTACTGTTAAGAATGCAAGAATAATTAGCATTTAATTTATCACATTTCTGTACATATATTCAACTATACACTTACCACGAGTGCTAAAAAGAAAACTAAAATATCTCTGACATTCTGGATTCTGATACAAAACATAGACACAATATTTTACACCCTATTGGTATACTTAAGGTTACAAAACTCTAAAAGCTATTTTTATTAATGTATTAGTCAATGGTATTCAACAAGATTATTTTTTAACAAACTATAAAAATTAATCTCGCGATTATCAGCATATTTCAAAGTGTAGCGATTAATATTTGTAGAGCAAAAAAAAAAAAATACACATATATAATAATAAATAACAATAATGCAGATTATTACTCATACTAAATCAGAAGTAGCACTAATCATGATCGCTATTAATAAATAATATTCTCAAGGTGATTCACCGCGAAGAGTCCATTCTTGAAGAAAATGATAATATAAAAAATAAAAATCTAAGAAGACCCAATATTAACAGTTTTTAAAGTGTCTTTTAAAATTAAAATACACAAACAAAATACCAAGATTTTCGCGTCTAGTTTCAATACAATTAGTACAATTGATTAATTTGTCAAAATTTATATTATATAAATTAGAATATCTACAAGCACACGACTATATTCGTAATGAAAGTTACTGCTACAGTATATCTAATCGTGCACCAATATAGTTATTAAAAGTAATCCTTTAATACTTTTCTAATACAATTATCATTAAAATAGCTACAAGGTACAATATTCACGTGCTTATAGCACAACTAAAATACGCTAACTTTAATTTTAGCTCAGGCTATAAGTTAACGTGTATATTTGTGTCTGTAGTTTTTACCGCTCAAAATCATATGAAAGTTAATAAAAAAGAAATTGTAATCGAAAACTTACAAGAATCTCAAGAATATAGTGATCTAAGAAAAATTTGGGCCATTGAAATGCGTAAAACACATAACAATCTAGATAAAACACACTAACCAGGTGATTAGTCAGTCAATGGATCGATCGATAATATTGATAGTTAGTTGGTTTGTCAATAGATTCGTAATTATTTGCAAGAACATCGACTTGATAACAACTGTAAATTTTTATATTTAACATTAGAAAATATTGTAAGCATTTAAGAAAATACAGTAATCTACTCAAATACCGTTGGTATACTTCAAGTTTTTATTGAGTCTATAATCATTTACCAACCTATCTAGAAGCAATTATCTATTACAAATAAAATTGATAAGAATATAAAATTATAATATTATAATATAATATATAACTCATAATATTATCTAATCTTTAATTTAAAATTTATAGATTTATTTTTTTTTTTTCTTTTCAAGTACTCTAATATTTCAATAATTATCTGTATTTAGTAGTCTTATATAGAATTCTTTATTTGGAAATTGATTGCTGATAAATTATGTAGTCACTTATCATGCCATATTCTAATAATAATTAAATTGTATACAAATTAGTTAATTCTAGAAATGAACAATGATTATACAAACATTTACTACAACATGTTCTAATTAAGTTATATATACAAATCTTAAATTCTATACTTAGAAATTATTTTATTTTGCTATGCCATATTTTAATTATACATACAAATCTGTCAAATTCCAAATTTAGATTAACTATTGAAGTAAACAAATTATTATACTTATGCAGTCGCTGTCGCTTCATACCTTAATGAAGTTGTGGATGCAACTTCGTTAATTCTATACTTATTTTAATCACTGGATTAATAGTTATTATTCTATGTCCCAATTAAGTTGTATATACAAATCTATTAATTCCATACTTTATTATAATTAAGATTGTTACTGAAATTCAAATAACACCGCTTATGCAGTCATTTATCATGTCATGCTCCAATCAGTTGCATATACAATATCTGTTAATTCTATACTTAGATTGATTGTTAGTATAATACGATAGGGATCATTTGCAGCTATTATTCCTTGGTTCTTTAGAATCATTTTAGTTTAAATAGAAAATAAGAAAAAGGAAAATCATTCAGATTTCGATGCAAAAATTTGAATACGAAAATAAAAATTGTAATACAAAATATTGTATAAAAGATAATTAAATTTATCTTTGAATTTTTGAATAACTATTTCAAATAAAATTCATTTATATTTTATTCTAGTACTTCTAGTTTTATATTTGATTTTAACTGAAAAAAATAAAATAAATATATATATTAGTAATAATGCTCTTAAAATGACAGTTTGCTACAAAAATTTTGTATTTAGGCACTATAAATCTACAACTGCATTATGGAATTTGGGCTAAAACTTGGTGGACAACAACTAAAATTGAAATAGAAACTGAAATGAAGGAGTTTTTAATACCTTATCGTTTATACATGCGTATTGCATGTGAATTTAATAGTAAAAACTTCATTATTACTGTTTTATCTAGTAACAAAAATTTACTAAAGCTGGGTTTTCAATGCACTTGTGAAACAACTACAACAGAAATTGAGTCAAATCTATTAGCAGCAGTTAAAATATGCTATCAAACAATTTTTAAAACAAAAACAGAATACTCTGGTTCGGCCATAATAGAATTTGAAAATATAAATATTATCCAACAATTGATCATTGATATACCAGTTTTTCCAATATTTATTCATATAGAAAACCTTTCTGTTGTAGTAACAAACATAGGTGATCTAGATGAAAGTAGGTTTAATGGTGTCAGTTCTGGATTTGTTTCTTCTGTTATTTTAAAATATTGTAATGAACTACATCTTTTTGTATTTCAAATTAAAGAAAATAAATGTATTATAGAAATTTATTTAGAATCCACATATATTAAAAAGTTACGGGTGAAACCCCAGATGAAATTTGGAGAAAAGTAGATATTTATTAACAACTTGCTGGATCATACTTTTTTGGAACTACAAATACATCAGTTCATAAACATCTAAATAAACTGAGAAATGAATCACCAATATATACTGTCAGTAATTGAAAAAATTTACAATTACTAGAAAAAGTATTTTTTTGCCATATAAAATCATGTAAGATTCCTAATGCAATGATTAATTGGCCATGTCTTTTTTATAATTGGTATTAGAAAAATAGTTCTATTGTTCAGTTTCCACTTATATTACAAAGTATTTACCCGCCTAAATATAATTTTCAAGATAAAGAATTATAAGCCTGGCATGCGATGTTTGTTGCCTACAGATATACTGATGCAACACCAGTTTCAAGAAAAGAATCATCTACAGAATTTTGAAGCAAAGTATTAGACTCTACTGCAGACAGAGAGTTACTAAAAAACCTTTATGAAAGTAATATTATACAATTTGATAAAAACATCTCTGTACCAGCACCAAATCTGCAACCAAATCTGCAGAATAAAATATTTTGAGATAGCTTTAGAGATGCGTTGCTTTCAAACAAGAGAGGACCAGATGATAAAATTCGTATTCTTTCAATTATTGCCTTAAAGTTTAAATACCGTATTCTTATAAAAAATTAGCCGTAAGTAATTGTTATTAAATTTTTTTAAAACTAGACAAAATTCCTATTAATGTATTTGATATATCAACTAAAGGTGCTAGTGAAATTAAATTAGAGTAATGAAATAATTTCATCTATATGGTAAAATTGTTGTTAAATAGGTGAAATTTGGTAATTACATAATTTCACCAGCACCTCTAGTATCAATATACGTTAACTTCTTACTTAAAAATAGCAAATTTTGGTAATTTAAAATAAATAAATATCGACGGTATTTTGCAATTTTTAACTATCATAATATTTTTACTATTAGGTTAAACGGAAAAATATAAATAAAGCCAGGAAACATGCTCGACTTTATGATACGGGCACACCACCTTTGCAAAAACCTAAAAGAATCGTCTAATGACTATCTAATAATAAAGAAGATCAATTCTTGTTATTTTTTCAAGACAGAAACAATGTTGCAATGAGTTCATACCATGTAGATAATGTGACAGAATCGCCAGTTCTATATTTGCATGATCTAAAAAGTAACTTATGGAATAAGTTTTATGAAACTTATCCAAATGGTATGAAACGAACCACCTTCATGATGCAACTGCAGAAATGTACAAACCTTAAATACCATGATGATCTTGGTGGGCTATATATAATCTGTAATAATTATAGATTTGAAACTTTTGAAAATTTTAAAAATATTATACAAAATTATATTAAACATAAAAATGATAAGGTTAGTCTATAATCTTATGTTATCTTTGATTTAAAAATAATAAAAATTCTTATATGTTATTTCTAATACATAATTATTTCACTAAACGGTCTTATTAGTTCAAGTTTTTAGACTACCTCAAAACACTAAAGTGATATATAAAACGGGGTTACGAAAGAGAGTTAAAAATTAAAACAGATGGCAAATTCGAGCATGATCTATGTATTTCCCATTGTTTATCTTATGCTTTTGATGAATGTGTTAATAGTCATAAAACAACATGCTCCAATTGTGACCAATTGTTCAACTTTCTGAAATCTATATATAAATTAGTACTGCCAACTATCCATGAACAAATAACGGAATACAAAAAACAATTATTTTATTACCTTTCCCATCAAATACGAAAAGCGTACTTGAATGTATAATTTAAAACAACATTAGCTGAACTTGATCCAGACAGTGCACTTTTTATCGCAGATTATAAATGCATATATTACTTCAATCAGTACGCAAAACAAAAAAAGATTTCTTTGAAAAGCATGGCTAGACTTTACACACAATTTTAGTTTTCACTAAAGAAAATGAAACTAAAATAGATATTAAAGCATTTGACCACTAGTCAATGGATACTAAGCAAGATGCTTGGTTTATGGTATCATCATTTGATGTCGTCTTTGAAAAAATAGATAGAAAGCCCAAATAGATAAAGGTGATATCTGATAATGGTCCTCATTATCATAACTCTGAGTTAATAGCTATAGTTGGATACTGGTATAAATAGTATGATATTGAAGTTCGAAACTGGTTATTTTTAGAACCTGGTGAGGCAAAAACAACTATCGATTTATATCATACAGCAGTTAGTATTTTCTTTTTTTCTTTTTTTTAAACCAAAATTGTTAACAAATTCGGGATTCAACTAGCAAGATAATCATGATGATTCTTCACAATTATCATTATGCTTATTGTCTTCTCCCTTCTCTTGCTCACAAAAAAAATCTACAATTTCAAATAACTTCTATATAGTTATAGATTAAATCGTGAAATATAAATTAATAAAAATAATATATAATTTTTGCTAATAATATATCTGTTCTTTAAAGATAATGCATGCTATAAAACGGTACTTACGAATTGGATACAACATAAAAACTAAAAACGATATTCGTGAGGCGGCTAAAAATTTATCAGAGACTTCTATAGCAAATATAGAACCAAACCGTGATGATTACATGGATATAGAGAAAAATATCAGTAAAGATATAAAATCAAAAAAGTCAAAAATCAAAATCAAAACAATTAAAGGAATTTCGAAATTATTTTTTTGGGAATGGCCTATAAGAGGTAGATATAGTGGATATGTTCATGCATGCCCATTGCTTTATATTGGAGAATGGAGTAATTTTTCACCCGCATATTTAAATCAACTTTGGAATATTCCTCTTTATCAACTACAACCAACCAAATCGAAGCATACAGTACCAAAATCTACATAAACAATACCAATAAATACAGAGTCTAGTAAGTATCATACTATCATTTAAACATTTCTAAATTAAATCTAAATTTATATACATACCCTATTTTAGTTGAAGATGATAATGAAGAAGGTATGAATATATCAACATAATCTTAATTTTATATACTGAAAGAGTTCTAATAATATGAAAACTAAAAAGATGAGGATCAAAATAAAGAAATAAAAAATAAGATAGATAATAGTAAGTAACATAGCTTAATATCTATATATGTTGTAACTTTCTGCTTTCATTTAATTTCCAAATCAATTTATTCAACTTATTCAGTTCTAGTGGTTGTAATCGCAATTCCAAGGTATATAGACTTAAGTGGCCTAATAAATATTGGTTTTATTTACTAATCGACCCTTTAGTATGATAGATCTTAAATTTCTATTACAAAAAGGGTGGGCACTAAAAGGCAACCAAAAATTAGATAATAGAGGGAGAGCGAGAATAAAAAAAAATATAAAAGCTATGTTAGAATATTTCTTTTTAAATAGAAACAGAAGAAATGAAGATAAAATGAGTGCACGAGATATGCATTATGAACTTCTGAAATTCGTTGAAATTGGTGAGATAGAAAAGGCGGATATCCTAAAAATTGACACGATTCAAAATTGGATAGGTTTGTATGCTCGTGCTGTTAAGTGAAATACAGAGTTGCTATGTAAATAAATTTGGGTCAATGTTCTAAAGTTCTGAAGTAATTATTAGAAGTAATAAAATATTTTGCTTATCAATATGTTTTCATCAACACAAACTTTTACCTTTAGCAAGTTAATGCAACAGGAGGAAACGTCCTCGATCCAAACCTAATCCTACACCTAGTATGCAGCATATACAAAAATTATTTTACAATGATGATCACTTAACCGCCACTGTTACAAATATAATCCCACACAGTTTGGATCAGATGTTTCCTCCTGTTAGTTAATATACAATAAACTTATACCTTTAGCAAGTTAATGCAACAGGAGGAAATGTTCCTGATCTAAACCTAATCCTACACCTGGCGTGCAGTATATAAAAAAAATTATTTCACAACGATGGGTCACTTAGCCGCCACTGTTACAAATATAATCCCTCATAGTTTGAATCGGATGTTTCCTTTTGTTAGTTAATGCACAAAAGCATTCATTTTAAAAATTATTTGCAGATATTTGTCTTCTGATTTTTTTTTTTTGTTTTTAGTTGATCTTATTACCTAGAAATAAATAAAAAATTCCAAGTTAAACTATTTGTATTCTTTTTTTCAAAGCTAAAAATTTAACAAATTATAAAGATACAAAGCCAAAATTCATTTGATCTAGAGTTTGTACCTGTCAAGAAACTTTCTACCCGGGCATTATTAAATTGTCCACTTACCTAGGCAATTTATTATAGCCATATAATAAAATGTCTATCCGGGTACAATCTCTAATCTGTTCTATAAGAAAGTTTGAGTCATGCTATTAGTTCGTTGTTAATGATTTTTCGTCTGATCAAAAACTTCTAAGATCAAGTAATATATAAAACTTATTGAATTCTAAATCCTTACTGGATCTTATATATTAACAAATATGTCAACGTTACTTAGTAAATACCACGTTTCTCCAAAGTAAACTTTTTGAGAAATAGTTTTTATACTTTGTAGTTTCGATATTAAAATCTCGTGGTATTGTTTTATTGATTGTACTACTTTTGTATCAAATTTTATTTTAAGTTTGTTAACTTTACTTATAGTCATAAAAATTCAATTCGTGCTTTGCATATATATGATCTGCGTCATGTTATTATATAAAAATTGGTTCAGCTAATTGGCGAATCATCAATTAAGGTCATTTTTTATTTAATACACAAAAGTAGTTGTATTAATAAAATTTTGCAATATAGCTCTTTAAAGTCTGTATTTTTTTATAATTTATTATAAGATTTATACATAAAAATTAATTTTCAAAGATCTTTTTTTTGTTAATTTCATCCCTTTTCTCAACATCTAGCCTATATAATCTGTATAGTATATTGAATTTTCATATAGTAAATAAAAAATATCTTTGATTAAACCTTTTAATATCTTAGTTAATTTTTATTAAATTTATATATTTTTATATATATATTTTTTTTTAACGTCTACCCTCTTGGGAGCTAGGATCTTTATTCAAGTATATATAGCAAAAGGTTCTCTAGGGATCCTTCTACATTAGAGAGTACATACTAGCCACACGTACACTTTTGGTGTCTAATTTAAGTAGTCCGCCTGTACATCATACA